TAAAAGAGGATGCTTTTTACATGTCAATCACATTAAGACATTTTGGTTAGTGCACATGCTTTAATTACTTTAATGTGACAAGTGCATGATAGGAAAAGTAATTTAAATCCAAATATATCCTGCATGTACCTAGACGAGTGATGTGTCCTGGTTTAGAGGCGTTACAAACTGAAGTGCAGAGACTGAGTGTGTGTGCTGATAAGAATTCAATCAACAAAGACAAGGTAAACCAAGTCTCACAAGGTTTACTGGAGAGAACTAAAAATTGCTTTTGCTAAATAGGAAATTTAGAGACAACCAAACAACATCCATAAATATTCACACCTGTAACGTTGTTTTAGTCCAAGTGATCAAGACAGATGTGACTATACAAATGGACATTTTATACACATCTATAACACAATGCTTTGTGCAAATATAACTGCTGTAAAGTTTTTAAAATGAGCTCTGCCTTGATGTTTTTTATCCACGTGTTGCTCACACATTAGTACTTAATTAATAAATGTATTAAAAGATTGAGCACCAATAGGCCAAAACATTAAAACCACTGACAGATGAAGTAAATGACGTTGTTCATCTCTTTACAATACAATGTTCTGCTGGGAAGCATTCAGTACCAGCATTGATCTGGAAGTTACTTTGACAAGCACCACCGACCTAAACATTGCTGCAGACCAAGCACACACCCCCATGGCAACACCACCTCCCTGCAGCTCGAGGAACACGACAAAGAGCTCAAGGCGTTGACTTAAAATTCCTCGGATCCCAATGTGATCGGGCTTCTATGAAGTGCACCAGAATCCTGATCGATGAACTTCCCACCCGGCAATCCATAGCACCCAAAGGATCCACTGTCCCAGTGCTCGACACCACAGGACACCCCAGAGGGCCCATGTCCACGCCCTGGTTGGTTGGTTCTCCTGCATATTGGATACTTTCTTTTAAGTGTGTGTTGCTGTTAACACATCTGAACTTTTACTACAGTCAGGTTTCAAATGAACTCTTGAGGTATTTCCTCTTTTACTGAAATAAAAATCGACTACTTCTTTTAATAAATGCATACAATGCATTGGCCCTCCATGTAGATCTATCAGTCACAATATTAAAACCACCGACAGGTCAAGTGAATGGTATTGATTGTCTTGTTACAACAGCATGTCTCACAGTGAAGCAGCAAGTAATCAGTCAGTTCTTGATGCTGATGTGTTGAAAACAGGAAGAATGGGCAGCGAGGTGATCCGAGGAACCAAACTGGGATGACTTGGTCAGGGCATTTCCAAAATAGCAGGTTGTATCTGGTGTTCCTGATATGCAGTGGTTAGCTTGTTCCAAAAGTGGTCCAAGGGAGGACAAATGGTAAACTGGTGGCATGGTCTTGTGCACGTAAAGTTCAGTGATGCACTTTGGCTGGCTGCGTGATCTGATCCCACAGAAGAGCTACTGCAGCACAAGTTGCTCAACACCTCAATGCTGACTGTGGTAGAAAGCTCTCAGAAAGCAGAGTGCATCACAGCTCGCTGTGTATTGGACTGCAAAGCCACAGAGCAGCCAGAGGCCCATGTTGACCCCTATCTGATTCCTGAAAGCACTTACAAGGGTCAGCTCAGCAATGCAAGACGGTGGTCTGATAAATCAGGTATTCCCTGATGGCAGTGGCAGCAGGATAAGTACCCTGCCACACTACAGATTGTTCAGGAATTGTTTGAGGAACATGACAAAGATTTCAAGATGTTGACTAGTCCTCCATACTACCCTGATCTCAAGAAGATCCAGGATCTGTAAGATGTGCTGGAAAAACAAGTTCAATCCACCAACGCCCAAATGGAAGTGCTTGAAGGAACTGCTGTCAATGTCTTGGTGCCTGATACCATGGGACACCTTCAGAGGTCTTGTGGAGTTCTTACCTCGGTGGGTCAGAGCCCTTCTGACCGCCCCAGTGGCTCCCGCACAGTATTAGACTGGTGGTTTTAATGCTGTGGCGGATCAGTGGACATTTAGCCACGTACCATATGTGACAGAAGTATTAAATTCAATTGACAGATGACCAAATATTTTATGTAAACCTAATGATGCAGTCTGACTCAAGTGCACCGGCCAAAAAAAAAAAAACTTACATAATAACATCTGACCCGAGTGTAGACGCCAGACCTCCGCTGCAGTGGCTGAACTCAAACATCCTTCTGTTTCATAAACCAAAGCATTCAAAGTGACATCTGGCATTTTGCTTCTCAGACAGACCTGTTTTAAAAGATTTCTTTTTAAAGTCATGAACGTTCATAACTTGAGGCCACTGAACACGTCTTGTCCTGAAATATGGAACTGAACACAAGGTCAGCATCTGGCTGTGCAGACGGAGCAACGGGGCTGTAACAGTAAAATTTACGTATTACAGGAGCAGCAGTTGAACAAAAGTACACCTAATTCACTTCTTATTATGTTTTTCATCATTAGTTTATTTCTAGTTCATGGATTTGTTACTTTTTTTTACAAATGAGCTATAATATCAACCACAACATGAAAACAATGGTGGCCATAATTATCTTTTAAATCCCTGAGAAGTGTTGCATAATGGGCTTGTTTACATCGGCTTCGTCTGGGGATGAGAGAATGAGTGTGTGTAGGCGTGACGTGCACTGTGCTGGTGATCACGGAGCGTGTAGGAGGGAGGGCGCACCAACAATCGTTTGCCGCTGAGCTGTCCTGTCATACATTTGACTTAATTCCCACCACGATAAAAAGATCTCCCCCGTGGACTAAAAGCAACAAATCAGATGTTATTTTAATTACGGAGCTAGGTTTGATTAGATTTGTTTTATTGAAAACACAAGGACAGGACTAAAACTGACAATTAATTGACCCTACTAATGAGTCTTGAAGGGAAAAGGCTGGTGCAGCTTCTCTCTGTTGTTGTCCAATGCTATTAAAACCCATAATCCACTCTGGTGCGCTGAAGGACATCTTATTATAACAATCAAGAGTACTGTCGTTTATTTTCAGTTTGTGCCGCGCTGTCCTTCTGCCAGAAATACTCACTAAAGCAACCAAGTGTGTATTCATCCACAGCCTAAATTTATCTAAATGGGAAAAAAAGGAACACACTATTTATGCACCTTTTATAAAAACAGAGAGTGTGGACCTCCTAAGGGACCAATGAGGTAGAGATCTGCAAACAAGCTGGGAACACTGGACAGAAAAAGTTATTTAATATCATCAGTTTTCCCTTTAAATATAATAAAAACAGACTTGGTCGACACTGTGAAAGCACATTTTAATATTTTTTTTTAAACATTAAAATACCGGATTGACAGAAAAGCATCACCTGAGTTGCACTTGAATTCAAAACTACATCTATTTAAGTTTTACAATCAGGGTAAAGGGGGTATTACATGTATGCAATGATGCGATCCCCTAAAAGCTAATCTCTGTGTATCAAAGTCACACATTCAAAAGTAATTCCTTTCTGTCCCATAATAGCTGAGATGCACCAGTTTCATCTAGAATGTGCAGATCTATGATGCCCCCAACTCTTTCTCCATGCACCTCCACCTACTCGCTGCAGCTCGAGCACACCAGCTCCCCAACAACTCTGCTCAAACACTGTAAAACTACTCCACACTACACCAGGATTCCTTATTATTATTATTATTCCTTATCAAAGCATGACTGTTTGAACCTAAATGCGGATTTGAGTCGTCACTTGTACGCTGCAGTTTTACACCAAAGGGGGTCGTCAAATTAAATTTCCCCATCAAATTACACTTTTATTCACAGTCTGCGAGTAGAGCTGGGTGAACAGTCATGAAATGTTTTTCTAGATCGGAAGCGGATAACTGTATTAGGTTCACACACTCATTTGCCTGTAATTGCATGACATCAAATGTGAAAACACCAGTTCCCTTATAAAAACAATTGGGTTAATTGTGTTAGAGGTCCGTGTTTGTTTTTCTGTTATGTTGCAGCTCTCATGCAAACCAGGTCACGCAGTCAAGATTCAAGTGTTGCAGTAGGATTTAATTACATAAAATGAGCTTATAAAACTACAACAGTGCGGCTTTGGACACATTTCCTCTTTCTGTTTGTCCAGAAGTAAAGGTGTGGTCACCTTTGTGGGGGAAAAAAAAACTGCTTGCAGATTGGACTATGTGTATTTATGAGAAAGAAATTACAATTTTAAACATTTACAACCCTTCAAGGTCGCTCCAAGATGGTTTTCTCACTGGAGCTTTTTCTAAACCATCCAATTTCAACATTGTCTGCTCATTTGTGGAGGACATGTTAATAATCATTTGAATCCTATTATGGACCAATTCTCTTTATGGAAATCAGTGCCCTCAGGCTAATGTGTGTGTGCAAACTGTAACTTCATAGATGTGTGCTGAACCGAACGCCCCACAGAGAGAGAATTTCCCCCTAGCTCATATATCCAGTAATGTTATGGAGGAAATTATTTCTTTAGTTCTAGAACACTATTGCAGTTCATAATGTCTAGCTGTATAGAAACAGGGTGGCCTCTGATCACACAAGAGCTCTCACACCCGTCTTAGCCAAAAGTTATGGAGATAAGCATCGTAACATAAATGTATATGCTGACGATGTTTTCATTTTTCTGTCTTAACTATTACATTCAACTCCAAGCTGGATCAGCATTAGCTCTGAGTTGGGCACATTTTCATAACAGCCACCTTGAATCACATATTTCACATGCTTATTTCACTGTTCTAAGCGATCAGGAATAACCTGCCTGTTTCTGTGCTGGGTTACAATGTTGTAATAATGAATATTCAGCCTCGACTGCTCTACCTTGTACTGCTATTCTGCATGACCCGGGGTCTACATGTTGACATCCATCCATCCATCATCTCTACACCTTAGTCCCATCATCCCAAATACTCAGAAAGCAGCTTTAACCAGCAGCATCTCATCAAACATCTCTTCCATATATTTAAGAGCAAAATCATGTGTGTGTGTGAGGCAAAGTTTATGCTCAGTCGGCTATTTTGCTTGAATGTCAGTCTGCAATAAGACCTAAACAGCAGCAAGGAAACTAAAAACCGTACCCAAGCTGAGGAGAAGACAGGACGCTCACTTCTGAACCTCATACGAAGCCTGCTGAGCTGCATGCAGGATGGGATGCTGTGCACAATGATGTCACTTAGAAAGCACAGCGAGTGTGTTGCCAGAGAAAAGAGAAGACAAACTTGCAACAGAGAACACTTTGCAGATATGATGGAGCTGTGCTGGGCTGTGACTGCAGGATGAACCCAGTCTGATGAGCAAACTGTAATGACGCCATCTGGAGGCACAACTGAGGTATTTCATCAACAAAGCTCTTTGGCTCTTCTGCATGTGTTTCATCCTTGTGCCCACAATCTTGACCTCAGATATCTCCTCACAACAGCATAGTTCTGAGCTGGTTGCTCTTTTAAAGACGGGTGGGTCCCTCTGAGATGGTATCATGAGTCCTCTTCATTGTAGAAGAACATGTAGTAGAAGAGAGCGCTGACGGCCAGCAGAGCGACCGACAGCAGCATGTTCCTCCGGTTCTCGCCTCGTAACGTCTCCAGCTCCTGGTCTACAAAGACAAAACAAAACTGACATCAGCATGTTGGATTTCTGTGGGTAAGATGTAAAAAAAAAAAAACACATACAGTGCACATACTGTTTATAAATTAGTAAAATCTGAGAATGTTACATGGATTTATTATCACAACGTTATCCTCTTTAGGTCAGACTCATTGGTCTCCTCATTGTTTTCTCCATCAACATGTGAGATGTCAGAAAATAGTGAACATTTATTATTCATTCATTTTGCTTGAAATGACTGTTTTGCTTGACAAAGACAAAAAAAGGGCATATATTTAAGTTTTAGTGGCACAAAGCAGCAGAAACCTTAGATTAAAAAAAGAAAATAGAACTGCTACAGATTAATGCTTTGAATCATTTGAGCTCTTTGCCCTTTTTAATCTGTTAGAACCCAGTTCAAAGATCCCTCCAGACCTTTAAAGGCCTTGACTGGCTTATGATTCACATGTTCATCACACATGGTCACACAGCTAAAACTGAGATTTAACACGATCACAGAAAACTTAACTATTCAAGAGAAGTAAGGAAAAGAAAACGAGAAGAGAAGGATGTTCAGCGTGTGGTCTCACCCAGCTTCTGCACCCTCTCATTCATGATGGCCATTTCATCTTCCAGTTCTTGTCTGTGAAGCAGATGGGACGAGAGAGAGAGCATGAGAAAGGCTTTTTGCTTATCATGGTCATTTATCAGGTTTTATTCCTCTGACTACAGGGTTGTTCCTGTCAGTTATAGTGGTGCTGTTGCTAATGGAAGGACTACTGGGCTCAGGCTACCCCTGGACCGAAAGAGACGACAAAATAATCACCACCAGAATACGTCAAGGAGCCACAAACGGACGCAAAACCACGAATATTGATAACAAAATGAATATAAAGACGACTAGTTGTATGACTGTTTGGAATCTGGCTGTGTCCACCCTCACCTCTCCTCCATCCTCACCTCTCCTTCTCCATCCTCACCTCCTCCATCCTCACCTCTCTTCCTCTACCCTCACCTGTCCTCCTCCATCCTCACCTCTCCTCCTCTACCCTCACCTGTCCTCCTCNCCTCTACCCTCACCTGTCCTCCTCCATCCTCACCTCTCCTCCTCTACCCTCACCTGTCCTCCTCTACCCTCACCTGTCCTCCTCCATCCTCACCTGTCCTTCTCAGACAGCTTCTCCTTCCTGCTCCTGAACTCGGCTCTCTCCAGGTTGTCCTGGCATCGGGCCCGTCGCTCCTCCAGCCGGTCAATCTGCGGAGGTCACAGGTCAGACACTCTATTCATTACAGTTATGATACTCTATAACCTTGTTAGGTCAGACACTCTTTATAAATTATAGTTATCATACTCTTTAACCCTGTCAGGTCAGACACTATTTATTAATTACAGTCATCATACTCTATAGCCCTGTCAGGTCAGACACTTTATTAATTATAGTTATCATACTCTATAACCCTGGTAGACGAGGTCAGACACTTTATTAACTACAGTTATGATACTCTACAGCCCTGTCAGGTCAGACACTTCATTAATTATAGTTATGATACTCTATAACCCTGTCACTGACCTAAACTGTGAACAGATGCAGGCGGTAGTCAGGAATGAATGACGTGTTACACTGAAGCCCAGCAGGCGGCTAACAGCTACTAGCTAACTAACATAGTATTAAGCCTTTACCTCGGTGGCGACGCTGATTTTCTCTCGTCTTTTGTCCTTCTGTTTGGCCATTTTCTGTCCAGATAAGTAGCTGACAGTTCATGCAGCTGCCTGTGTGTGACAGAAGCTGTGACTGTGCGGAAGTTCTCCTTTTTCTTCTTCGTCGTGTTTATTTCCGGCACCGTTCAGGCGCTGTGCTGCCCTCTGCCGGCAGCTCGGCGCTTAAGGGAAAAGTTAAGGGACACTTAACTTCAAAACGTGTTCTCAATTCATCCCCAAATGTTTTATTAATGTAAAATCGTATTAGACATTGTAGATAAGCCCTCAGTGTAGTTTGAAACCCACTTTAAATTTTGGAAAACGTTTGTTCTATTTGTGAAAATGTAAAAAAAAAAAAAAAGAAAAAAAGATTAGCCCTTATTCTATTTCTTAAAAATAGTATCCACTCTCTATTTAGATCTCATCCTGACTAGATTGTCTCGGGGAGGCTTAGGATTCTTTAATGCATAGTTTTTAATTTGTGAAAATGCAATAAAGGTAGATTTGATTGCTTTCTTCACATCAGGACCACATGAGACCAGGTTCAGATCTAAAATGACTTAAATTGGTCAAACTATGACACAGAGGCTGAAAGAATCCTTAAAACACATTCTCCTATTTATCCATCCATCATCTCTACACCTTAATCCTCACTAGGGTCATGGGGGGCTGGAGTCTATCCCAGCTGACTCAGGGTGAAGGCAGGTTCACCTGGACAGGTAACCAGTCTATCACAGGGCTACACTTAGAGACAGATGCTAATCACCGCCCCACTGTGCAGTCCCAGCTTCCTATTTATGAATCATTTAATCTCTATGTAAAAATGCAAACAATGGGAGATTGTGCTGCTCTGTCTCCAGTTTTTGCATTTTCACAAACAGAATAAATGAAAGTGAGTTTAGGATGGAGTTAAGGGTTTACCTGAAAATGTGCATTAAAATGGTTTCCCTTAACTTTTCCCTTAACTGCTATATCAGAAGCTCACTTCAGCCTCAAGTGCAGCTTTATCCTCAGAAATGGTGTCCTTCTCATTTTAAAACACTGTCATGCCTATAATATCACATTAGAACATGTTAATTATGTCCTCACTGCAGGACCTAACTCATCTGAGGTTTCAGTAACAGAGGACATCCTTAAATTAGGAATATTGGACCATTTCACAGTCATAAATGTACCAAAGCGTACGTTTTATTTATATCCAGGCTGCTGCTGTCCCGCCCCGTGTGAACACAGGGCTAAACTCAGACTGAGAGAGTTGCTGTTGATCGGTACTAATCAGATTATTTGACCTGAGAGGACACAACGTGATCAGCTGGGGAGGAAAGTGACGAGGCCAGGCAATCTCCACTCTGCTGGCTTCTTCTCATTCTAGAAAGATGCCTCTTTTTATCAACAGGGACCAAATATTTGCACATCAGGTACATCTGCTGGAGCACAAATTGAGGGTAAGTCACTGTTGGAATGTAGTGAATGCCAAACAGAGGGATTAGTTTGTTATATATTGTTGTAAGCCTTCTCCTTTAGCTCCATTAAGGCTTTACAAACTGCTTGTAAATGTCCTTTGGGGACATATTTCACTGTGTTTCAGAGCAAAGAGGAACGAATACTTGAACTGGAGACAGAGAATGCTATTCTTCATTTACGACTGGCCGAGGTAAGAATTTCTGCCATTCATGACACACAGGCTTAAGCCTACGGGGGCTTTCTGATCGTTTTATTCTGGTGTTTTCTACTCTCAGGGCTCTGATTAAGACAAACATTTCAGCTACAAACACAGTTTAATGAGATGTGTTGACACTATAACGCTGACACCAACTTGACATTGTGTGTAGTTTAATCTCAAATGTGTGCATTCATTGATTTATAGCAAAAATCTAATCATAGTAAATTAAATAAACTTGGCTTGATGCTAAATGAGTTGGGTTCATGCTACCAATCATTACATAATTAGTCATTTAAAATACCACTATTGATTGTACAGCAAAGACTAATGTCCCTAATCCAACGTAGTTCATTCAATTTCATAGTTTCATGAGAAGTTGTTGCAACTCAAAAAGACTGATGCATTGAATTATTGAGCCTAAACGTTTGTTTGTAGAGTGTGGACATTACATTCTATTATGATGTAGCTGTATTTATTCAGTCACCTCTACAATGGCATGAAGGGCTTTTGTGTGAATGGTTCTGTTTCACTTTTTGCTAAATGATGATAATGATGATGATGATGTACGCTCACATCCACCAGGCTGCTGGCTGCTGTCCGACTGGAATCATGCAATTTAATTCATCTTGAACCCTAATGAGCAGATCTGTAATTTCCCCCCTTTTATGTCTTACATATTTTTTTATTTCTATATTTTCTATCAATATAATTACAATAAAATTCCCCAAAAATGACAGTGAATTTATATGCCTAATGTAAAATAACATTAAAAACCTCTAACTGTGAATAACCATAACATTAAATCTATTTTTTTAAAGAAAATCAAACATTTTCGACATAAAAAAGCCATTAAAATAAATTCACAAATTTATTACAAGTTTATAAATATTTTTAATATATTTCATATTTCACATTTTAAATAGATTAATATGTTAAATTCAAATTTAATACTGTAGATATATTTCTAAAATGTGACACAATTAGTGACAATTGATAGAAAAAAGAAGTGTTGGTTCTGTCTGTCTGTCTAATCGTATGTAGTGTACATGTTATTGTATATCATAGTTAATTTGATGACATCTAAATATGCATCAATAAACATAAAAAGCGCCTAAAAATGCACACGGATACCTTTATTGACAGTATAGATGCTGCATTGGAATAAATGTTCTGATGTATTCTGCAGCCTAAAATGTTAACACAATAAAATAAAAGCTGTTTGATGAAATCTACTTTCAAAGGAAATTTGACTTTACTGAACCTCTCATCTGTTGACCAACACATACACTCATGTGTTGTGTTACAGTGAAGTTCTTTAACTACATGGATCATCTTTTGTCAGCAGTTGTTTCGTGTCTCACTAATGACAGGGGGATGTGAAATCTTTCTCAGACTTTGGCGAAACTGCGTCGGGACCATGAAGAGGACGCCAAGTCAGAGACCCTTCATCAGCTTCAGACGAACGCTGAGAAGATCAACCAGTCAGCCCTCGTCAAGCTGCTCTCTAACGTCCAGGTATGAAATGTGTTTGTGTTCACAGTAGATGGTGATTCTTCTGCATGTCTAATGGTCAGATTCTATGGAAACACTGAAGGACACGGAAGCCTGTGCTCTGTGTTTTGGTGGCAGGCTGTGAAGCAGGACCTCAGCGAGCTGTTTGCGGTGTACGTGAGCTTTGCCACTGAGCTGGAGGAGCAGAGCAAGCAGCTGCTGGAGAAAGTGGAGCAAGCCAGCTCTGGTCTAAATGGTCACCGTGGAGATGAGTTTCAGAGTGAGTACCAGTAGCATCTTCTATGTCTCCTCGAGGCTGCGTCTCTGAAGGAGTTGTTTTGAAGGGACCTGGACGTCTGGCTGAATCTTGGGTGCACTGAGCTTGAACAAGTAGCAGCCTTTAAACTCTGCCCTTAAGACTGAGCTGTGGTACTTCGGTTTAGTTTAATTTAATTTAATGGAGCCAGAAAACCCATCAGTGCTTTAACAGGACACTGTGGCATTGCTTAAGTTAGGGAAATGAGTTTTCGCCACCCTTGGCTGGTGAGAGTCGACCAAATAATCATGCCTCAGCCAGTATCATTTATTTAATGTATAGCCGCTTTCAGAACAAAGTTACAAAGTGCTTTACAATAAAAACAGATAGAAGATAAATAAGATCCAAAGTAGACATGATGCAAAGATAGAATAGATTTCGATCATTTTAACAAACACCAACAATAAAAAAAACAACAATTTCAAGAAGAGATGTTACATGTGACACTGAATATTAGCAAATCAGAGACACCGACGGGAGTCTGGCCCTTCAAGGCTTTTACAGCAAGCAGCAAAATCTATTGCAAAACTCACAGGTAGCCAGTGAAGGGCAGCAGAGACTGGGCTAATGTGGCTGCTTCCCTCTGTGTCCTGGCAGCAGCATTTTGAGTTACCTGCAGTCTTTGGATGTTTTGCTTTCAGATACTAAAATAAAGCATCAGTTACGTCTGAATGAGACGAAAGCACGGATGACCTTATCTAAATCTGAGGAAGATCTTGTTTACTTCTTGCAGTTGGGAAAAACAAGACTGCATCACTTTGGTCACCTGAGTATCAGAAGACATCTGAGAGTCAGAAATAACACCTACGCAGGCTTCTTTAGAAACCCAGATTAGAGGAAAGATTATTAATGCTGCAAGAGCAGGAAGGTATAGTTGTAATCTCTTCAGATTTGGAGTCATTCAGCTGCAGGAAGTTCTTGGACATCCAGTTTTTATTTCAGAAAGGCAGGCCCGAATATGAAAGACATTGCTGGTACCAGGCTTTAAGGGGACATACAATCGGCTGTCATCTGCGTAGAAATATTTCTGCTCATTTACAGGCTGCTGATGCGCACATGTTCTATTAGATACCACAGATTGATCATGAAGAGAAGATGGTATGGGACAGTGTTTGAACAGAGGCAGAGGGAGTCCAAACTTGTACACCACCATCCTCTCAGCTCCTCAGTCTGCTGCTGAGTAGGAGGCTGTTTCAATAGAGGCTATTTTGGGCAAGGTTTTCTGCCGCTCACCTCCATTAACTTTTCTCACTCTCTCATTCACCCTCTCCGTGCACCTATAATTCTGAAGTGGCTTACAGGTAATGTGCTGCCTCTGCCTCGGTAAGGATGTGTTGCTGCCCGGTAATCCTCTCACCGCCCTCCCTCCCAGGTTGTCCAAGGTTGACTGAGCGGTTAAAAGCAGTTCAACCAGTCAGCTGGTCACCCCGTCGCAGGTGATTGGCGGGAAGTGATCTTGTCAGAAGCTCTGGCCAAGATTAGCCTGAGTACAGGCTGCACATTGTGCCGCAAGCTTTTATTGTTGATGCCAGTTGATGAAGTTGAAGAGAAATGCTGCTCTGTGATTTCAATTACTGAGGTTTACTCTGTTGTTGTGCTTTGTTTGGTGTTGTGCCTGTAAGTATTTGT